AAAAAAAAAAAAAAAAAAAAAAAAAAAAAAAAAAAAAAAAATTGCCTTGACATCTAGAATTTTAAATTTTGTTATTTATTTTTTTTTTTGGTGAATTAAAATTTTTAATTTATAATGAGTTCTTGTAGGCTTTCCTTTCGAAGCCGACGCTGACATTGTTTCTTACCTCCAATCGATGTGAGATCGCCCCAAATCTATCCCTTTGGGGCCCAGCTCACACCGTCTCGTGTCTACCCTTTTGGAGAACAGCGAGAAGGTTGACACATTGTTCGGTGTCTGGCTCTGATACCATTTGTAACGCCCCAGATCTACCGCTAGCAGATATTATTCTCTTTGAGCTTCCCCTCAAGGCTTTAAAACGCGTCTATTAGGAGAAAGTTTCCACGCCCTTATATTATAAATGGTGGTTTGTTCTCATCTCCAACCAATGCGGGACGTCACAGTTCTATATTTGAGGCAATAGCCAATTGCATTCGCTAATCATAATAGGCAACCACTCTAAACAACAAGTGTGGCAGTTGATTCGAGCAATAACACTTAAATGATGGCATTCTAGAAACTTCTTAAACGACCACAGTCAACGACTTCCTTGGACAATAATAATTAGTAGTGGATGAACCCTAATATCGGCAATACAAATTTGAATGTAAGATAAGTGTGTGGAAAAATCAAATAAATTTGGGTACAAAAAAAACACATAATAATTTGAAATTTAATTTAAATGGGTCCTTCACCAGCCCATGTAAAAGTAGCTTCGGGGTTTCCCATTGGGCTATTATCGATGGGGTTTTAAAATGGGTCGATTGTCACAGTCCGATTAACCGCCAATTACACAAGCGCCACGCAAGGCCGGCTTGAGGCGTGACCGTGAGGCGCCCCCTGCTTCAATTATTCAAGTTAACGCTATTTAAGAAATGGAGAAGCTCTTGAATATTATCCAGGACAACCGTTTTGATTATAGTTCCCATTAGGTCCCAAATTTGAAAGATAAATATAAAAAGGTTGGAGGTATTCCATACGCAAAAGAGCAGTGAGGTTGGACTAAGTCATTGGAAGTGGAAGCGGTGAGATAAAAGGGAGAAAGAAAAAGAGGTTTGTGTTACCTATATATATACGTTAGTATATGGAATAAATTCCATTCTAATCCTCTCTTTTTCGCCTCGTCCTGTGTCGTTCTGATAATATAGAAGATCATGTTGGAAGGGAAAGCCACCGTCAAACAAACCGACATGTCGGAGAAGATGCAGATTCACGCCAAGGCCTCTGCATCTCACGCCCTCGATCTCTTCGACGTCTCCGATTGCCTCTCTCTTGCTGCCCATATCAAGAAGGTGTAATTTCCTTTTAATTTTAATTTTAATTTTCTTTTTTTTTTGGGTATGATATTATGAAAATTAAATTAATTAGGAATTTGATCGGAGCTATGGGAGTGGGTGGCAATGTGTGGTGGGTTCCAATTTCGGCTGCTTCTTCACTCATTCAAAGGGGACCTTCATCTATTTTTCTCTTGAAACTCTCAATTTTCTCATCTTTAAAGCTGCTTCCAACTAATTATTTCCAAACTTACCATTTCAAAGCACCACAAATGCTTTCATCTTCAGGGGCACCCTCGTCCTTTCCCCTCCTCCCTCTAAATCTCATGGAACCAACCATGTATGTGTATCAATTATGTTTCGCCATTCACTTTCTTTCTTCCTACTTCATCTCCTTCTACTTGTAATATGTTTCACGAATTGTTATGATTTTCCTTTTTTTTTTTTTATTAAACTTATAAATACTATCTTTAATTCTTTATTTTATTATATATTGGACTTCAGATTTTTATTATTATTATTATTTTTAAAACTTCGAAACGGCGTCGTTTTAGGAAGCTATTCTACAATTTGACGACGTCGTGTAATGAAGTTGGAAAATGTCCTCGCGAGCCCAGAGTCATCCAAATTGATAGCGTTTTGATTTACAAAATAATAATAAATAAATAAATTTTTTATATAATAATAAGGAAAATTACAAATTACTAAAAATTTAGTCATTCTAAATATTATAATTAATCTCTATAACATATTTTTTTTTTCCTTGAAAAGAGACCTAATTTATAATTTAATTATGTATTTTAATTGTTATTTTAATAAATATAATTTATTTGGTTAAAATATAATAATGAGAAGCAAAAAAATTGGAAATTGGAATTAGTCATAATTTTTGAATTTACATCTTCCGTATAATTGAATTTGAAAGAGAAAGAAAAAGCATTTGTTCTTATTGCTTGTCTACAACGACGACAAAGGTCCGCCGTCTCCAACGCGTTGGATTGAAAATTAGGAATCCTGTTATTCTGCCAGACGTCGCATCGTTGGGTCACTTTCGGTATGTAAACCTTTTGTATTCTTTCAATCTCAAAATGAATGATTTCAATCAATTGCCATTATTGAATCTTCAATTTTCTTTTCCAAAAAGCATCTCTAGAAATGATGACAATCGCAAGCTAAACGACCAATTTGCTGATCGCCTTCCCCATATGCTTACAAACATTCTCCATCGCCACCTGATTCAGACTACTCGCCAAATACATTCCAAGAAATCCCCATCTCATTACTACGCCAAATTTTAGAAGATGAAAGGGATTTTGGGTATCAGTAATTGACGTCTTTTTGTATATACAAACCAGAAATTAAGCACAGATGATACAGTTTTCTGATGTCATTTGAAGAACTCGTCAATAAGTTCATTCAATATCAGCTTCTCTGTGTCATTTACAATCTCTTCACTTTCACTTCTGGAAAATCCATTCTTCCAACCAAAACCCCATGTTCCATTCATCAGCTTTTTGCAGTATAGATCTCTCTCTAACACTGTTGCTAGAGTATCTACATGAAGATTCTCGTGGTAACTCGTTAGCGTGTCGATGTTGTTGCACACTTCCTCGACCAGTTTTTCTATGGAAATTTGTGTCTTTGTATTGCTACTATATCCTAGTAATAGAGAATTGGCTACTTGGCTTTTATGTTCAATGAGTTCGATTGCACAATCTATGAATGGCTTTGTATTGGGGCTGTCGGGATCGTTGCAGCGAGATGCTGCTTGCAACATTGTTCTACCATTTAGATTGAGATCAAAAAGCTCCCCTGCATGACATAGTAATGAGGAACTTCTCAAAAGCAATGCTTTCAGATTAGTTCCTTGACCAAAGCTTTCGATCTCTTTTTCAGTATGACTGTAGGGGTCGATAACTTCTGTTACTCTTGTGTCGATCTCGAGTTTGGGGCTCGATGGCGAGAGAGAGATTGGGCTTTCCTTGCAGCATTCTACAAGATTTAGGAGAAAACTAAGTATAAATCATAAACATTTAGACAATGCACAAGTACTTGTTCTACTTGGAAGGCTAAGTTATTCTATCTCACTTAGAATCTCTCTTGGATGAAGATATATTAGACAATGCACAAGTACTTGTTCTATGCTAATGATCAATAACTGTAGATATTGCAACTAATCTTGTTTGTGAACTGTGAAGGACAACTTACCTATAATTTTGGTATCACATTCTTCAGTTTCGCTCTCCATAGTAATTAAATCCATAAGGGTAACTTTGATTTGGTTTGTTGGAATGTCAGCACTTTCATTTGTATCAGAACTCTCATCATCTTTCTTGGCTTCAACTCTGTGGGTCTGCAAGATAAACACTGTATCAGTCTCTCTTTACAAGGCAAGAATAATGGATACTGATGAAAAAAAGGAGTTTCATAAACCAAAAAGAACTTACAAGTGAATTAACTTCTGAACAAGCAAGCACTGCTTCCTCCTTTTTCTGACAGTTACGATCATTAGATATTGCTCTCACTGCTCGTCCCGACATAGAATCTGGAATCGAGCCACGTTGTTTATGAGTTTTATTCTTCCTTGGATTAGTGGAGGTTGCTTTTTCTTCATGCTGTGGTTTTGATACTACTTTTTCTTCTGCAAATTCTTTTTCTACCAGTTTTCTGGTTGATGTAAGATTGTTCTTGTCACTTGGCTCCTTCTCATGAGGCATATCATGCATTGGACTAGATGTTTCCAACTTCTCTGCAGCCTTCTTCTTTGCATCAACAACACATATTCTTAATTTCCTAGGCATTATTCCTTCTTGAGTAATCGGTTTGAGTGAAATCCCTTCTGCCTCTTGCTTTCTTTGCAATTTATCTGAAATCAAGACTCCTTCATGGAAATCTGCAGAATCATTGAATGGCCGAAGTTCTTTCTTTTTCGATCTTCTTAGCATAGGTTTTTGGTTGAAAGCTTCCTCTTTTAGAGAGGCATGTGTTTGGTGTTCCTCCAATTCATTAGGAGGAAGAGGCTTGGGTTTTATCAACACAATAGGCGGTACGTCTTTCGACCTTTGTTTTGAACCCTTATTATCTTTATTAGAATTACTGTCTGTAAGCCTGTTGAAGGGCACTTTTTCAAGTATTTCTCTCAAGGTTCTCTTTTCAGGATCCTCCTTGTCGACGACAGATTTGGACCTTGGCGATGTTCTGTATCCAAAGATCTTATCAAATTCGAACTCTTTCTTTGGAGTAGTTTGCACTGATCTTGATGAAATTTCTTCAAGCCCCATAAGCTTAGCAATCAGGTTATTACGTTCCAAATTCTTCTGTGCAAGTGTTGAAACATGACAACATTTGACTCCATCATTAACCATTGAGGATTGGCTGGAGCTAGTCGATGGAATTTCCGATCCCGAGTCCGAATTCATATCTCGAAAACAAGACTTTTCACTAATCTTAACGTCATTAGTCACATCTCGCTTCACTAGGCTGTCTCTGATCACCTTCTTAACCTCATCAACGCCATGTCTGGAAGAACCATGTCTAGAAAGCTTAGATTTTTTAACCTCAAGTGGAGAGCTTTCATCTTCAAGATGACAAGAAAAACTTCTTTGATACTTCATCTTTAACCGAACCAACTTGTTGGAAGCTTCTTGCAACCTGGCCAGAACAATCAGCGATTCTCTTAAACTTGAAGTTCCTTCCAACATATCCTTAGAAATCTCCTTGGATTTACTCTCAGATCTCACCCCCTTAGAAGAGAGGATCTCCATGAATGGAAGAGAGGATCGGCCATGAATTCTCTCTCTCATTTCTTTAGAGATCACCTCCTCTTGCTCTCCCTGAGATATCAAAACTCTTTTTTGATTTCTACTTGTCCTATGAGTCTTAATCTTTTCTTCCAGCTTCTGGGAATTCACTTTGGATATCTTGATTATATTGCAATCAACCACCCCTTTTGGATCATCACAAGTGATAAAGGATCTGTAAACCACTGATTTTGCACCGTCCAGAGGCATTTTCAAACTCCCCTCAGCCCCAGATCATTTCCCTTATAAGACGAAGAACCCTTCCACAAGCTAATGCTCGGACGGCTGTGTTTCCAATGAAAACAAAGCAAAACAATTCATCAGAAGACCCAAAACAAACAACGTGAACAACTCAATCAGATTTTGACAGTCCATATAAAAAAACTCATCCAAATACACAGCTACCTTCCTTGATCTTCCTCTAAAGCTTCTTGAACAACTCAACCCTATTCTACAAAACTATTTCCCATCTCTTGTAAACCATAACCAAAGGAGCAAAATTGACTGAGAAAAGAGTCGAAAACAGAAAAAACTTACCAAACCCAGAAGAGAAAGAGGCGAAGAAGGAGGGCCAAGACAGGTATCAGAGAGAAAAGACACAAAATTTGCAGAGAATTGGCAGTCCCATGTGAAAGTTACAGAGTACTAAACGAAAGGGAAACAGAGCAGTCGGTGCATTGACTTCGTGGCAGCTTAACAGTAAGCTTCAAAGCAGAGCCAAAAAGATCGAAAGGAGAGAGAGAGAGTCTAAGATTTGGAGCTCATATTTAATTTCAATCAAATGGGATTTTTTTTTTTTTTTTTTTCTTTTTGTACAGAACAGCAAAATCGTTGAAAGATCATAGTTGTCATAAATGGGACACACTTGGTCTCTGCAGAGTGCTAAAACATCAATGGAGCAGCTCGGTTTTAAAAAGAACAAAAGCATGGAAGAGGAAGGCCAAATCCAATGGCAGGCCACGAAAGCTACAATTATATTTCATGGAGCTGTGATTTTGAAAGGCATGAACTTTGAAACAGTGTATGAAACAGGACAAAACAAGTGAGATGTATGAATCGAACTCTCTCTGTATTGGATGTATAATTTAATGGGATGCTTCTAAAACATGTTTCCTGATATGAACCCAGAAGACAGAAATTTAAATGCAGCGAACAGAGATGAGTTGTAATGTAATATTGCTTGCTATTTCAATTACTTTACTCTTACTTATAAAAATGTAAATGTGGTAACAGAATAGTTTCTTCAAAGCTTATTATTACTAAATAAATAATAAAGGTGATGCCTTTCCCAAATAATTCTTCTGGGCGATTCATTGGATTTCTACAAACAGGCCATGATTCGGATCGTTTATAGTTATTATTTAATGTGGGATTGTTTTCCTTTCTTTAATGAACTAATACGGCCGTGGTCTTTTATTATTGTTTATGGAAAAAGACAGGAGCCTTCCAATTCTCATTTGTCATTATAAAAAAAAGTATATAAATATTTAATATTTTATTTAAAATTTTATCAAATGTTTAATAGTTTCTTCGAGTAAAAGTGTTCTATAAATTTTTAAATTTTTTACCATAGTTATATATTCTATAGAATCATATTCCTTCCATTTTATATTTAACATACCTATGCATAACTATGCTAATATGTCAAGATTTTATATTTAATATACGTGTAAAATTAAAAAATTTAAAATTTTATTTTATTTTTTTTAAAAAAATTTAGAGATCTATTAAAGATTTTAAGAGTTCATAGATAGAGACAAAATTAATAGTAAATTGAGATCATAGCTTTGATAGGAGTTAAATATTTGGAGAATTCAATTTCTTACGTGGACAAAGCGACAAAAATGGTCATTTTTTTTTCATTTATATCTCAAATGCGGTATTAAATAATGGCATATAGTGAGATATTTAGGACTCATTGAGAAAAAAACAAATACAATATCTTAGCCCCAATCTTAGTCATATTATATATGTATATATACGTGACTTATACAGTGACATTTTCAATTTAGTATCAAAGAAAGACGTCTCGTGATAAAACTTTACTTCTTTTTCGTCAACTTGTAAAGATAGGGTTTCTGATGAGAAGCCTGCAAAAGAACAAAGCCAAAGCAATAAAACTCGGGCAAAAAGGGAAGTTTTCATAAGTCTTACAAATTCATTCAAGATCACAATTAAATATGTTGCTGGAAATAAAGGGTAGCATTTGGATGTAACAATCCAAGATCACCGCTGGTAGATATTATATGTTTTGGCCCGTTATGTATCGTCATCAGCTTTACAATTTTAAAACGCTTCTGTTAGAGAGAAATTTCTACACCCTTATAAAGAATGCTTCGTTCCCCTCTCAAACTAATGAGGGATCTCACAATTCATACTCCTTGGGAGCCCAGCGTTAGTGCTTGGCTCTGATACCATTTGTAACAGCTCAAGACCACCGCTAGTAGATATTGTCCACTTTGACCTGTTACGTAACACCGTCCGCCTTACAATTTGATTTCTACACACTTATAAATAATGTTTAGTTCCTCTCTCCAACCAATGTGAAATCTCATATTGGACCTTTTCATCGGACCAAAACTCTCACCCTGAAGCTCCATCACCGGCTGGTAATATTGCTGTACAAATCCATGCAGAAAGAAGAATATCATTACATAAATCTCTCTACTCGAACACGATCAAATTATATACAATGGCTGATTGACACCGTCTCTGCCCCTTTTTCTTTTTAAGATTGTAAACAACCGTTGAAAGCTCTCTACACGAATATGAACACAATGAACGCATTTTACCATTTCAAGAAGCTATTCTATGACTTGGTTTCGTTAACTTGTATTCTCCTGGCCACTTTACTTATGATCAACCTTCGTTCCTTTCTCTTCACTACTCATTGATATGCAAGTGAAGAATATCCGAGTTACAGATACAACACTAAGATCCAAAAGAAAAGGGAAATTTTGGTGTGGTAGCCAACCATGGAAGATTTATTTATTTTCCATATTTGGAAGTCAATGGTGCGGCCACCAAGCTTTTCTGCGGCCTCTATTTCTAATAGCAAGTTGCATTTGTTCATGAAAACAGCTGCAGAAAATACTTGGTGGAGACTTTTGTAATTTTTCTGTGAAAAATTCTTCGTGCAGACTTGGCTCGAGGGTTGTTTCTAGATTTTGACTTCGGCTTGAGTTTCCAAATTTCCATCGCTGAGAAGAAGAATCCTTAGGTAGGCAGGCTTTGGCTGTGCTTGTTCGGCTCTGACTCATTCTTTTGATTCGGCGTTTCTGTTCAATGGTGATGATATGCAGATCAGACTAACAAAAAACATAGTCAAGATTTGAAAGAGGAATTATATATACTTAATGTGAACCGACAAACAACAAGACCAATTTACCCTGAACAGAGGGAGGGCGGTTGAGGATTATTGAGAGGAGTAATCCCACACTGGCTAATTAAAAAAAAGATCATGGGTTTATAAGTGAGGAACGCGATCTCCATTAGTACGAGGCTTTTTGAGGAAACCAAAAGCAAAGCCATGAGAGCTTATGCTCAAAATGGACTATTTATACCATTGTGGGGAGGGTTGTGATTCCTAACATGCTTACTCAACGGAGGAGTTACTGGTTGATGGAACTATTTAGTACCTTTAATTTTGAGCGGATCCTCTTGTCTCGTCATGTGTAATTGTGATTTCCCTCTTGTAATACATAGCCATTCTCTATCTTCTTCGTAACTATGCTCTGATGCAATGGGAACATGCCAATGGCCTTTTTCTGATTCCTGTTAACAAGTTATAACATGAAATGTATGGTTAAAACATTCAATCTCGAGCTCGTGACAAAAGATATGCATTATCGAGTCAAGTCATCGTATTTCATGTGTTACTAGTCAAACAGAGACCAGAGTACGTCTATGATTATAACTTATTGTACTAGATTTGGACCTGAATTACGACAGAACAGGGTGGAGGAATGTGAAACACTGGACCAGTAGCAGAGAAACTAAAACGCACCTGTCAATAAGAAACCAAGAGAACATCTATATTAGCCATCATTTAGAACAACTTGTGCCAAATATTTGGAAAAATAGAAAACAATTCAATTTACTCAGGTAGGGAAATGGGAAGCATTGGACATGAAAATAAGTTTGAAGAAAAGTGTAACGGCTCAAGCCCACCGCTAACAAATATTGTCCCATTTGGATTTTCCCTTTCGGGCTTCCCCTCAAGGTTTTTAAAACGTGTCTGCTAGGGAAAGGTTTCCACATTCTTATAAAAAAATGTTTCATTCTCCTCCCAAACTGACGTGGGATCTCACAAAAGCCTTTCTTTACTCACTTGATGCCTTTCTTTCCATCTAGGGAAGAAATCATTTCCAAGAAGTTGGAACGTATGGTCTCGCATCTCATCGTTCGTCACAAGCAAGCATTTGAATTTGATTGCTGCATACAACCAGTACCTGAAGAACAGGGAAGTTAAAAAAAAATGCTCCATACACACTTCTAATCATCTTTGAAAGAAAAGATTTCAAATGTTAATGCGTATAGTGCAGATATCATAATTGAGGAATTGTTCTCACCAATCATCATTTGATCCAGTAGGCGTTGCATATAGTGCATTTCCATTTTTCCACTTCTCAATCAATGTTCTATTGACTGCTTCATTCATCTTACGTCCAGTGATTCGCCTGTGATGCAATACAATCAGAGGCCACTTCTTTGAAGAAAGCTTCTGCCGTATTCCATTGGCAATTAAATTGACCTGAAGAAATGGCCAGAAATGAGACTCCACAAGAACAAAAACAAGTGTTCAAATAATTAGCACACTTACTCTAGATGGTGTGAAGTTTCTTTCCATAAACAGGCCAACATTAGCAGCATCTATCACTGCTTCAAATGGTCCATAATGTTCAAGCCATTTCTGCAGGAAGGAAAAATCACTTCAATATAACTTTTAAAGCATTGAGATAATGAATAACAATACACAAAGGATTTCTCATACTTGAAATTTCTGAAAACTTGAATTTTTCTCTCTTTTTGTAGCTATGGCTGCAACAGATTCAGCAAAATTCTCAGTTTCAATAGGATCAAGATCAATTGTTACCAATTTTTCCCCACAGGCTTTACAAATGCCATCCTTTCCAACATTTGTAGATGAAACATTCCATTTTCCTCTTCCCAACCATCCCAATCCATGCCAACCTCCACCGCCATTTTCTATAGCTTGCCTTATTTTCACTTTATCCAGTTTTACTTTTCCCACTCTTGTTGCATCTTTGCTCTTGAACCAGGTAGTAATAAGATCTGCAGTAGAGGTTGAGACTTGTCTTACACTTGTTCTTAATTTATGCAACAAATAGTACACCTTTTCGGCGTTACTTGCGTTTATACTTACTCTTAAAAGCGCTGCCAACTCGGGCTCTTCCGGATAGACACCATGCTCCAACATGTGCTTCTCAACTGAAAATGCTTTATCTATCTCCCCTTTATTGCAGAAAGTAGAAAGCGCAGGGCCATAAGAGCGCAATCTTGGATTAAGTCCTAATGGCTTCATCTGCTTCACTATATCAAACGCCATATCACCATCGCCCACAGACATTGCCATTCGAGCCACAGATGTCAATGTTGCTTCGTTCATCGGGATATTTTCAGCACGCATTTTCTCATAGATCTCGAATCCCTTCTTGAGGGCATATCTTTTTAAATCTTCATCTTCCAGAATATTTGTAGATTGAACTATATTCTCCTTATTGTCATGCTTTTCACCAAGTGTAATGGGATTTTCATAAGAACCCACCTCAGACAAAGTTAATGAATTCAAAGTTCGGTTACCACGACCACTTTTAGCGGGTTGAATAACACCTAAAGCCGCTGAGGAACAAAGATACATCATGACAGCATAATGATATTGCTCCAGCTTAATTCCTTCTCTTTGAGTCCATTCATACAATTTAATTGCCCCCATGAAATCCCCCATCTTGGAGCACATATCCAAGTTAGCTCTAAATGGGATTTCATTACTCCCTTTAGACAATTTATCCCTCTCCTCTACCACCTGTTTCCGCATGCTCTTTTCTTTAACCTTCTCACCATTCCTTGAACCACCAGAAACTTTCAGTGAACTATTGTCACTTATAGACTTGATATTAGAAATCCCAGAACCCGTTTTAATTCCATTAGCAGAACCAGAGCTATTCCTAACGTTTTTATCCCTCTCAACCCTTTTCCCATTTTTCTCCTCCACCTCTAAATTAACAAGGTCTTCCACAGATTTCTTAACCAGTGTTTCATTTCCAGACCCTAAACGACGAGACCCATTTTTACTTAGCTTCTGGGTTATCGAAAACGAAAGGTTCTTCGAAGGTTTACGGTCTCTGGTAGTAGTTGAAGTTTCTCCCACAAATCTATCTCCTATAACTAAACGAAGTGTGTGTTTGGGAGGAAAGAAACTGGGAAAGCGTGAAAAACAAGAACAATTGAAAGCGATGAGAGTTGATGAGAACTTACAGGAAGATAGGTATTGCTGTGTGGAAATGAAGGAAGAGGAGGCCATTTTTGGGCTTTTGCAGCACCCTACCATGGATACTGAGATGGTTCCATATTCGAAGACGATGATAAGCTGGCCTTGTCATCAATAATCCTCCCGCCCGGATAGAGAACGGTCTGCGTGGCATAATATCTATCAAATCTAAACGTATAATATAAAGATTTTAGGTGAAAGTAAAAATTATTAAGATTTGGACGTGGGAGTTGGACCAAATTTGAAATACATTAGTGTAATTCCAAGTTTCTTTGATTCTATTTTATTATTTTCTTTATTCATGAATTTTTTTGAAGATATTTAAAAGATTATTCTCAAGAAAAAGAAAAGATTAATTTTCTGACTTGAAATTTTGTATTCTAAAGTTTTGAAGAGCTCCACAACTTCATAATTTATACTCCATCAATCTCATTCTAGTGTGTATCAATAACTCTATTACGAGTATCGATCCAAACTTTGACCCTTATCGAACAATTTTTTCAATTGACAATTACAAAATATTTCATTAGAAGTAAAAATGCATAATGAAGCAAATCTTTTATTTCATTGATCATCAAATGGGATGAATTATTGTTCTCTTATTTATCTGGTACAAAGATTAGCAATTAAAAGATTTCTATCTACGGTTGAAACTCAAAATTCGCCTCGAATTCTAATGGTGATATAAAAACGAATAAGATAAAGAGTAAAATGAGGCCACCAACTGACTAGAACAGACCAGTTTCAGGAAGCAAAATCCTGAATGAATACTGGACTGTCACTACAGAGATGGAGCAACACACCAGTTGCTTTCCTGGGCTTTTTCTGTACTTCTCTGCCAATTTGTGGTTTACTCTTTCCCATTTTCAGGTAGGGTTAGAATTTTATTACTAGTATGATGAGCTGCAGCATCGATCAGTGGTATTCTGGGTGCCGAGAGAGCGACATTTTTTATGACCCCATTGCTAATAATTCTCTGTCGGTATCCACTGTTTGAGGTGAAATTCTTGCTGTGATTTTCATTCCTCGCTTCTACTGAATTTGTTTCTACAATGTCCATATTCAAGAGCATAGTTAGTTCATTTATTGGAAACAAATAATATAAACATTACTATTTGATCTATCGAAACATCACATAAGAAATTAACAAAAACTCAAAAGAAACTAGCTATAGTATGAGTTGGATTATATTGGGATATGTCAAATTCAACTCCCATGCTCACTACATCTTACTAGTTAAATTCAAGAGAAAATGAAGAACAACTACAAACAAAAGACTTAAGGATAAACTTTTAGATTTTTCTGGCAGATTCAGTAATATGCTAGAATAATTCTTCAAGAGATCAGTATCAGCCCTAAATGTTGAATGTTACCGCAGATATAGTTCAATTTCAATAATTCCTTTGAGTCTTGCCTTCTACACGGTTATATTAATAGCTTATCAAGCAAAATGACCCAAGCTTACCTTTTATCTCTCCAGGAGTGATGAGTTTATTAAGACAATCTCGAAACTTTGTCAAAACAATCCGTTCCTGCTCTATGTAGACTTCTGATACAGACTTATCAAGCATATGTGATGATGTGTTGCAACCATGGCCTGCCAACCCATGAGCTAGAGCAGCTCCCGTGAACATGGTATCCTGTTCATCACACATTAAAGCTAAAGTTCCAGGGGACATCGGCCTTGCCGTTGTCGTGTCCGAACTATCTGAATTGGAATTATGATGTACAATTCTATCACCTTGGTTTAAACTTTCACACTCAACATCTGCGGCTTTCGCATCTGTCTTCTGAAGCTGTGACCTATCTCCAGTTGAAGCACGTGAAATCTGTAGTGAATCATTTATCTGCTTCACAGCAATTCTTTGTTCTGAACAGATATATAAAGAATTCTCATTTGGGTGGTCAACACCTTTTAAGTTCTAAGTTTATGATAAACAAACCAAGCGCTGAAATATGTTACAATTGGTTAGATCTTAAAACTTATTCCGCTTTGACGGAAATTATGGATTCAGAAAACCAAGTGAGATTTGATACCTTGAGAAAGAGAAATACAACATAATTTGAAAAGTCTCTTACATACAGAAAACTTGGCACATTTGCTGCGGGAAGTTCGGAAGGGGATGATTATCAGCGAAGAGATGTAAGATGTTTTTTAAGTCTCAATACGTATTCTTAGTTTTGTGTCGTTTATGGAGTTCAATTAATGCTAGTTTATTAAGGTTCCAGGAGTATCCTAGTTGCCAAAACTTAGACCAGATACGTAGCAAGATAACGGTCAAAATCATAAGCAGCATCGAGCTTTTCCTTTGTTGCCACTTTTTTCTCCTATTCAAGCATTGTCCGATTCTCAAAGAGAAAAAGTTAGCATCTAACTTAACTTAACCTAAGAGGATAAAGATTAATCAACTTGAGATGTTTCCAGGACATGAGAAACAGACTACACTATTTGTTCATGCTGTTGGGAGGTCCGTCCTTACCGGTGTTTTATTTCTTAACCTCCAAAAGCTAATTTACGAGGTCTGATAGATTCTTTTCTGCATTTATATTCTTAAAGCAGATATTTGCTAAAGAAATGCGCCTCCATTTAAGAGTTACCATACCTCATGGCCCTCTGTCCTAAAGACCCACTTGACCCATATATAGAAGGAAAGAACTTGACGAAGGACATTTAATGCACTTCTTGTATTGAGACAAACCACAAACACTATTTGGATAGACCAATAATTGAATGACCTTAAACCCCAACACTTCATTGGCCATAGAAACTCAGATCAGAACGACAAGAGAGAAAGTGCTTATTGATGTATGTAGGCATATATTCATTGCGTAAAATATTCACAACGCAGCTGATCCAATCATTTTGCACACAGCTCTGTAACTTCCTGGACAAAATCTTAGATCCTTGGCAATACGATGAAAGTTTTAACACATTACCTGCTAAATTCTTGGAAGCTTCGCTTGATAACACCACTAAAACTGAGCAAAGCTCCTTCAAGTCGTTCATCTGGATGAGGTCTGCCAATAAGGACCTTCAAGAATGGTACATGTCTAGTTCAATAAGTAAGCAGGTTAGACTGCATTACTAAAAATTTCAGAAGCCACTCAACTGATACCTGAATGAAAACTTTGAAGGTTCCGGTGCTGCAGGGCTGCCAACATGAGCAACAGGGAGGGGAGATGATGTAGATGCGCCAGAAGACAACATATTATTAGCCTGATAAACACACAAAATGAAGTTAGTGTCTAGATCATGAGCCCTGACTCACTAAAATGTAGCATTCAAATGCACAACTTTGTTACTAACAAAAAAAGATTTCTATCTAAATTAAGAACAGAGAAGCCTAGCACCACTAAAAAGTTTATTATTATGATGAGAGCACAAAGACTTTATTTTGAATCTTATAGTAACACAATGAACAAACTAACAGTTTTCCACATTAAAATGTTGGCACTTGGGAAAGAACTTTATTCTCAGAAATCAAATTTGTATTTTTTGTACTTTTTGAAGTTACTACCTGATGAAATTGTGCTATGCCGTTGAAGGGGGCATCCTTCCCTGTAGGGCCAAAGCAAAGCTCTGAGCCTTTTCTTTTCTTTGAAGTGGAAAGGCAAGCATAACCAGAGGATCCAATAGCTCCAGTTATTGCAGCATTTGCTGCCTGCTGAATATAAGCCATGTTGTTGACATGGTCACCATGGAGAAGTGCTTGTCTCTCGTCACTTCCTTCAAAGTTCTTACAGTCCATGCACTTGCAGTTTTCAGAGCAGAGAATATTGGCCTGAAAACACTCACAATACTTCTTTAAGCAACTTGATTTCTTGCAATGGCATCCTTTGTTGTGCTTTCCCAGCATTACAACCTCTCCAATCTCATCCTACAGGTGCTCAAAATAGTTAATTTCGTTGTAAATAAAACATGGTCAATCTCTACATCATATAGCAGTGACGATAAAACATTGAATTTTATATTCACATATTCCAAGTGAAAAATGATAAGAATAAAGATTTTTAGTTTTAATGAGGAAAAAGAACACGGACAAAAACTAAGCCCTTGCAATATATAAATGTAATATGTTTCCACTGAAACTATCCTCGAAATGTTGCAAAAGTGGAAATCACAACATCAACTTATCACCCACGAATAACTTGGAACCTCTGACGATAGCTCTAAGTTCTACTAGACTAGGTAACCGATCATCTCCAGAACCAGAAATTTGCTTAATTCCTCAATTACATCAGGACAATAGAATAACATATGCTAGATATTAATGTGACGTCATTCAGATGGTATAATGTTATTTTCTAATTAATTACACAAAAGGGGAAAAAAGTTTCTCAAAGGAATCGCAAAGTGCATAAAATTAACTAAATACATAATATTCCTCAGTCAGTTAATAAATTTATTTACATACAAAACAACCATGATGAAAAGCGCCCATTACACTCAGACTTAGACCAACATGCGTACCCTGCTTTCTCGTGGTCCATGCGGGCTGCTAGCTATCTTTGGTCGGAATGCATTTGGATTACGTTCTAAAGTAGTTTCAACTGCTTCTCTCCTAGAAACTTCATTCTCGACATTGTTATAGCAATTTGCACAATTGCAACCATCACAGTATATTCCAGAGGCAAAGCACTCACAGTACCTGTTCATTAATTTAGTTTCAGGTATGGTGAACATTTGAAGGCTACCAGTTGCATATTCATACAAGAAATTAATTGTGGAGAAAGATACAAAAGATTCACAAAATCAGGTTACTTCACTTATATTCTCCATTATGAGAGTTCCAAAGAGAAATCAAAATCCAGAAACTACTGATAAATATTACAGGATTACAAAGCCTGTTAGGCATATCTAACTACTGATCAGAACAACCATAATAAGGCATTGGATATATGACAACACAGAACTAGAAAGCATTAAGAAAAAAAGGTCAACTCATGGGGTAAGCAACTTTGTGAAAGCATATAGATCATGTTCATACAGCTTTAAGCAGCGTGAGTGTTTACAGTTGCACTGTTTTTGTTTCTTTGGAGTAGCATCTTTTGTTTCTACAGACCTTGATCGTGACTTTGGAAAATCTGGCTTTCTGGTCAAAAGAATAAATAAAAACTGAGTCACATATTAATTAACAGAGTTATCCCAAGTTCTCATTCATACTTAGACGCACACATGAGTTAAAAACATGAGCAGGCACTGAATTCAAATTTACTAGTGATAAAATTCAAGAACACACTTAAATTGAAGTTACATTAACAAGAGAAATTACAAGTCTTGATCCACATTAAATACAAGTGCTAGAATATATTTAAGCAGAAACAGAGTCAAATTCCATCCTAATCAGAAAGGGGGGTGGGCAGAAAGATATAAAAAAATAATGAGGACAAATACAGAGAGTGAAAGTATTTCCTTAATGAGAGATATATACATAGAAACTCCTAGAAAGAATTATACACATTGTGAAAAATCAATGATACACCAAAGCGATGAAGAAGAAAGAGCACAGGAAATTTTCCACCTGCACTGAAAGCAACACCAAACTAACCTCTTCCCCAAAAGAATGTTTCACTAATCTGATCAGTTCAAAACCAATTTCAGGCTTTCAGCGAGGAGAGAAAAGATTTTGTTTGTTGAAGTACTTTGTCATTGTCTACACTATCATAATGGGACAAAAACTACGAAGCGAAGAGGCCAAATATATTGTGACAACCGCCGATGTAACTAAGCAACAACAAAAGAACCACTGACAAAAAGCACAAATTATAACCCAATAAATAAAATGAATCAACTTTAACTCCGGAGGGAAGGGGAGGGAGCGGGGACTTTGGAGTAAACGACATTTCAGGAATCCAGAATTTAAGTCTAACAAGTTAGAAGTTAAAAAAGTGAAATTGGGACGACATAATTGATCAAATATCACACTCAGAAGCTAATTTATTTATTAGTATAGATCACTTATAAAAATGGAAACAAATTTTCGAAATCCCACCCTCCCTTCCCCATCAGAAAGAAAAAGAGAAATATTTGATAAAGCTCAAAGAATACGCCAAAGCAAGCAAGAGATCTCAAGTGGACCTCGCAGCCACAGGATGAGGCGATTGTGTTCCGACGGGCAAAACCATCAAATGTTGAGGGGACTTTGGCTGCGACGGACTCTGCACCACCATCACGGCTGGTGACTCCGAGTGACAACGAGACTGAGACTGAAAATGAGGGAGCTCTGGTAAGACTGCACCACCAAACTCCGCAAAATCCAGCTGTCTAGCTAGTTTCTTAGCAGTAACATCAAATGCAACCACGCTATCCGGTTCCTCACTACCAGTTTGAGCACTTGGCGGGGGTAAATCGTCCATCTCCGGATGCTCTAATTCCCACCATTACATTTAAATTCCAACTGCCAAACCAAACCACTACCAACAAATTTTCAAATCTTTTCAAAAAACTTTCTCAATCCACAAATTCGGTACCATCAAATCAAAATCTAGAAATCAACTCAATCTTATGAATTTCAAGCAAGAATCCCAGTCCAATACCGGCGGTACAGATCGTGTACAAAAACATGCAATTTCGAGACTGAAAAAACTTCGACTTTGAAGCTGGCCTCTAATACCTGAAAAATCACAAGGACTTCCGATAACTAGAAGACAGCCGAAGAGAAGGGAACTCGAAAGAGCCGTCTAGGGCTACACAATAATGATTTTGTATACAGTACACGAATGGACAGAAGAAGAAGATGAGCAAGAAGGCTTACGTTCTTCGTCTCTCTCCCTTGCGAGATTTTGAATTTCGACCTTTTCCAAATATTGAACGGTGAGATTGCTCCAGTGAGATCCATCAGACGGCGAATGTTTAACCAGCTAATCTAACGGTGCAAATTCATAGAGTGAAGAATGCTCCAGCCATTGACCGTCAGATAACGAAAGTCAAGATGTTTTCCCATGCAAGCGAGAGTAACATGTGCCTATGGATCTGCCACTAGTTGAACGACACGTATGCAGTTAAAATACATTCGGAACACGTGTAGAGGCTTGATTGAAGGATCTTGTGAAAAAGTGAGGGAAATCAAATAAGATTCTGTTACTACAATCTATATTAATGGGAGATCCTCTACTTTCGACTACATGTACAACAAATGAATGGACGGTCAGGATTAAATCTCATCACCAGGGCAACTTCAAATCCTACACCATTACATAAATTAAACCGGTTCATTTTGAATTTCGTGGAAATCCGGAAATTAATAAATAAATATTTCACAACCTTATTATTAAGGTATGTAAGTAATTGACCTTGATAAAATATTTCTCAGTAAAAATAAAGTCGAGGCTCGTGTAGAAACGTATTAGTTAATAAACGTCAAGGTTCATGTAAGAATGTGTTATCTGTTGTCTAACAAACACTGCACGATCATTGAAAAAGAACCAAAATAGAGGTGGCTCCCTCCAAGTGGCAAAATCCAAACTACACCCTGACCAAAATGATTTATGTGAAGATAATAACGCTTCAAAACCATTGCCCAGAAACCAATAAACCAAAGATACACAGTATATATGCAAGCCATTTACTTCAATATTTTTGAAGGCTGTCAACAACTAACTACACCATACAATAATAATAAGAAGAAATACGAAATATAGGAGGCAGAAGATAGAGGACCCCATTAGCAGGTTCCAACACACAGGGCCTGTCGGGAAAAAATTAAGCAGGCTCTTCTTAACATCCTCTTTCCAAGGCTCTAAACACAGATTACGGGGTGCTGCTCAATTCTCAACGCTAAAATGGACCTCCATCGCGCTCTTGTCCAAGGCCGCGCCTATAAATGTGCTCCCTTTCGACAAACACATCTCTACGGAAGTCTTTTGGTGGAAGGCCGCGTGGAGACCGAAGCGAGACTCTCAATGGAGATCTAATTGGATCTCTAATTGGGGAGCGGCTCCTCTCTCTCACATCACGTGCCCAGCGGCCACGCTGAGGAAGCAACGGCAGTGGTGGGGATGGTGGCCTTCTTTCAAATCCCTTCCTCTCGGGGATGAACTCATCTCTTTCATGGTCTCTAAGGGGCCAATCGGAAAGAATTGGCCTGTCGAACTTGGACCTTCCTCTGAAGCTGTCTTCTAGATAATCCACCCGATCCCTCCGCAGGTCGGAGTACCTGTTTTCATACCTCTGAGGTGCCAGACCACCAGCTGCAATGTCCCTGGAACAACCCCTGGTCCAAGCACGGGGAGGAGACCTATATTCATTAGGAGTCCTGCCAGGAGAACGTTCAATTGGGTGGGCAGTAAAGCGTCTAGGAGGAGAATGCAGGGATGGTGGACCACCAACATGGCCTCTTCGAGGTCTTCCACCAGCTCCAGTGCGGGGTCTGTTGCATTTGTTACAAAATTCTCGTCTTCCAAAGTTTAGGTTGTCACATCTAATGAAGAATAAAAATACAACTGGTTTGAAAAAAGAAATGCACCACGAAGCAATGTAATGATAGAAAGTACACCATGCTATGCATTATAAAAATATTCCTCGTACAGACCACATGCCAAATGGGCAAGAAATTGAAAAAACTATCATTCACTTACAAGATTTGGTGGACACACGAGCTTTTCTGACGTGACATTTTTCATTCAGTCTGATCAACATAAAATAAAGTAATATGTTTTTTCTTTTTTGAAACCCATAAAAGCAATATATATGAAAAAAAATGCTTTCAAGAAAAGCAGCCTCAAAACTATTTTTCAAAAACAATAAACACAATCATCAACTCCTCCAAACAAAAAGTAATAATAATTCAACCAACCAAAAGACATATCAATAGAAAAGGATCCTATTCCGTGCAATGTATGAATTTCTCGTTCATATGAGAAAAAGGTGTAATGTCATGGTATCAACAAATGTTCGTCTGTATATAAAAGAAGCAAATCCATTGTCATATATATATATATATATCAAATTGTGGTGTTAGGTGAGTACTTACAAAGGATCTGAGCAATACCAATCCCCATCCCTAGGACGCACATTTGGATTATTACTACGTTCACCTCTAAATGGCCCAGGAGCAAGTCCAGGACTATCAAAACCTCTCCCATATGGCCTGCCACCACTTATTCTTCGACTGTAATGGGGTGAAGTCTCCCGATATCTACCATGATCGCTCCTGCCTCCAAATTCACGGCCCCGCATGAGATCACCAGAACGATCAAAATCAGAAACATACCGTTGATCATCCCGATGACGTGTTGGAGAAGCTGAACCTGCATGTATTCTATATCCTGAAATAAAGATGGTAGTGGATTTATAAGATATTAAGAAAAGTAACATATTGTATAGGAAGCTTATTTGATGTACAACATCCATATATCTCCAAAGATTTTCCCTGATACAACTGCAAAAGGACCATCCAAACAAATTGACAACCATTGCCATTCATTGTTGGCATCTCCTCTCTGTGGACAGAGCAATAGAAGGTGCAAAGATGCAGACAAGAGAGAAAGTTCTGATGATAACTGCCCGTATAGGTTCAAAACGTTACCACCCATATCATCAGAAACTTTAATAGAAGCAAATAAGATAGCAAAACCATAGCAACTTGCAACGTACACATGTCCTTCTTTCCACATGTCCAGTGTTAGTACATGTAAAACCCACATTTTGAGTTATCATAGCCTACAGGTAATCTATTTCCAATTTCACAAACCCAGCAATGAGACCAAAAGCACAAGTCTTGAAGAAAAAAAAAAAAATCAGTGTGGTGATGTCCTGGCAATGAGGAAGGACATCCACCCATAGCCCAATCTTAAATGAACAACACGTACAAAAATAATCACACAGCATAATCAACCCATGCTTAAATACAGAATTCTTCAGTTGAATTGCACCTGGGAGGCTCAGTAAGACCACAGTGAAAAGCTCACAGGAAAAAAACCGTCATTAAAAAATCCACACAAATTGAAGCATCCAAAAACCAGATTAAACAATGGCACCCATCCTACTCATTGGTTAATTCAGAAATCAAACTCCAAATCTTACTTGCATGGTCACAATAGTTCGTTCCTCTACGGCTTTCAGAAATATACCAATGGATTTCCATGCATGCCGCTAGAATAATTTTCTGCAGAATCTAGTGGGCTTAACTATATCCTCTTGAAATGACCAATGATATCTTCAGTCATTGACCACAAAAAAAATATGTAAGAGTTCATACGATGAAAGGAATCCAGTTAATCCAACTATTAATCCACCGGGTGCCATTGATATGCCCATTCACACTACCATATATTTAGTTGAAACAAATCCCTAATTTGCAGGGTGTCGTACGAAATGAAATGTGAAGATCCCAAACTTCACCTGCAAATCAACCCTTTATGAACCCGACAAATAGATCAAGAAGTTGCTACACATGATTCAGATGGCCCTTAATACACCAATACAGCTCAATCAATGTCTCTCCACGAGAATAATTGCATCCCTCAGATGGAAATCTAGACAGTGAAAAAATCCACCACATGACATAAATTGGCATCTCCACTTCATACGAGTCAAATACCAGAGTAAAGCTGGTAGCCCTTAACCGTTGGTCAATGCACCTGTAAGTTCATTTAGAGCTCATACCAATAGTCTCAACCAGGCAGACCAATACGTCTCTAGCTTGTTATTTGATCACCTTCAATTTCTTAAGAGAACCCTCGCTCACCATGAGTCAATTATGATTGGTATTTTAACACATCTTACTCCAACCAGGCCCAACACCATGCTATCCCAAAATGACAGACGGATGATATGATAGCCCCCCCACTCAGCAACCCAGAATTTCTTGCACAAATTTTACCCCCAAAATTAAATGGTCTTAACATGGAAAAAAGAGCAATTCCTGAGATCATGATCTGAGACTGCACTTACTCAATGCCCTTCTCAAGATCTAAGTTCTTGCAGTCGGCAACACAAAGCTGTAAGAGAATAGAAAGTTTTATTCCCAGAACAAAATTTTGACAAGGGGAAGTAGATCCACATTCTCGACATACAAAAGAAAATGGGGATAAAAGAAAAGAAATAAAGAGGTTATGAACTCCATTTCCTCCAGAATATCACAACATTTTCTATAAGATCAAAATGACAACCAAGAATGGCAGTGCTTACCCTAAGCTATCAATGCATCCTGACTTAGAACTTGATAGATCAAAAAGAAAATGTCAAATTACATGCACAAATTGATACTTTTAAATAAATTGAACTAAGTTTACACAAAGTAGGTAGTATAAGATTACAAAGCAAATTGCTAGAATTTAAGAAAAATACTTGAATCTCATTCAAATATCAAAAGAGCCAACAAGATTGAAAAAAAAATTGAAGTAAAAAAATAAGTGACATATCTACTATCTAGCATCCTGCAAAAAAAAAAAAAAAAAAAAAAAAAAAAAAAAAAAAAAAAAAAAAAAAAAAAAAAAAAAA